TGCATACAATGTCAGGGAATAGCATTGTGTGCAGAAATTTTTAGTGTCTGGGCTCAGAGTGGGCAGCATGGAATGGGAAGAGTTTGCAAAGGGAGTCATGATTTCATACATGTTTTCTATCACTTGATTGGTGTCCTGTATAGATGTGTATATATAAATGTATTGAAAGGAAGTAATGTTAAATATTAAAACAACTCCTGAGCAGTTTGAAATGTACAAGCTTCTTTTGTGTCAAGGCTTTTTTATTTACTTTATTGGGACGGTTCAGTCACCACTCTCTTGTCTAAGGAACAGACAACTAGCTCAGTTCTCAGAATGATGTGCCATTTTCATGGGTAGGAATGCCCATTTTCTGATTGCCAACTTCCATCAGCCTGTCACTCCATGTTCACAGAAATGATGCACAATTCCCCCCAAGGCAGAGGTTCTGTACCTAAAGAATCAGGACCCCGATGTGTGGAAACTGACGGCAATGCAACAGACTCAGCCTCCGACCAACTGAGTTACAAGCCCTGAGATGCTCTGTATCTCAGCAGGCTCTATTCACTATGCAGTCCAGGTTGGGCTGGAACTCACGGTAGTCCTCCTGCCTCAGCCTCCAAGTCCTGGGACTACAGGTGTGACCCAACACACCCTACTGGTTTGTTTCTGGAGAAAGTGTCTCACTGCTTAGAATGTCCCGCACTCTGTTATGTAGCTCAGTCTGGCTTCAACTTTTCAATTCTCCTGTCTCCATCTCCCTCCTGAGCTTTTGATAGACAGGCATTAGAGGAAGCAGCACTTTAAATGGAGCACTGAAGCTGTGCCTACACAGAGCTGGCCTTTGATTTTTCCTGCCAAGTGCTTTCTTTTTCACATCCTTAAACTGTGTCCAGCTGCTGCTACTATTTAAGGTAAGTAAAGGCCTGGACCTTTTCAGTTGGAAAAGGAGTACAGAGATCCAAGGATGGGCATAGTGATGCTGTTTGTAATAGCTTATGTGTGGAAGCAACCTGAATGTCCAACAATGGGGAGTAAGGTAAGAAATTTGACATATCCAGGATGCAAGCAGTGAGCCTAATCACACAGCCCCATAGAGACTGCAGGCAATCACATGCTAGAGAGAAAATCAAAGTTCACAATTGTGTGTGCAAGCATTTCCAAGGAACAACAGTGTGTGGACATCTTTTAATGTTTGGGCTCTAGGAAGGGGAGCTAGAGAGTGGGAAGAATTGGCAGGAAGGTCATGCTTTCACAAATCTTTCATGTGGTTTGAATGCATTGTCATATAGATATGTGTTTGTGGCTATAAACATGTTTTTGTTTTAATCCTATGTGTGGGATGAGGAACCGATCCAGAGAGTCCACAGCAGCAAACTATTTGCCTCTGAGAGGATCTCTTTGCCACCTGTAGTTAATTTAAATCTGAGGACTAAATGCCAGAGCCCAGAGAGTATGGAGTAGCTCTGAGAAAGAGCAAGGCTGATGCTGTTTCCCCCCCCCCCCCCGTAGCTCCTGGCTGCTGTTGTGAGACAAGAAATTGGAGATCTCCTACAGGAGGATTGGAATGGCTCCAAAGAATCCAAGGACCCTAACCAGCAAGAAGCAGCTAAGAGAACTGTGTCCCCTCTCCTACTCAACCTTTCTCTCAGCTACTTGGTGTGGGGATGTTGGAAGTGATTATTACCTCTCACTTTCCTAGCGACAGTCCTTGGGGTGGGTTGGGAAGACGTGAACTAATAGCCGTCACCTGTGAAGGCCGGCAATGTACCCTCCACGTGTTTTCAAGCTCAAGGGTGCAGCCTACAGAAGAGGAAGAAAGGCCTAGACCACAGGTTCAAGACCCTGACTCAGTATTAGCATCACATGGCAAGTGTCAAGTCAACAAGTGCTCAGGTCCCACCCTCAACACAGGAACATTACCATCTCTGGAGTTACATTCTGAATTTAATTTTCTCTTTTTACAGAAATCTCCCCCAAGAGTAGCCAGAAGTGTGAGCCACTGAGTTGTGCAAATTGATTGTGGGTGTCTTTGTGTGCATGTTCTCTTGTTTTAAGACTTATAGTACATGAGCTAGGGATGTAGATCAGGAATAGACAGCTGATGTTGCATGCAAGAGGCGTTTACCCCATTGCCTGGCCAGCCAAGCCTTATTGATCATATGGAGTGAGAAAAAGGCCCTGTGTGTTAGGAGTCTCCTTTAGTCACAAACTAGCCTGGTGTCCTGGTCCAGGCCCTTTCTGTTTTCTGGGTCTCTGTTTCCTCTTCCATCTAAGGGTGGCCACACAAGCCTCTGGCTTTCTGGTTTCAGGAAAATTACTCGCTGCCTTGAAAATAACTTTGGAAGGAGGAGGACCTCTTCTAACAGTAAACTGGAGGAGGGGCATAGGAGGACAAGAGAAAAGAAAGGTGGGATTGGGAGGGGCCAATGGAGGGGACTACAGAGCTGGGATACAAAATGAATAAACTGTAATTAATAAAAAAATAAAGAATTTTTTTGTCTTTTGTGGTGTTTGTTTATTTTTTGACTTGTTCTTTCCTTTATTCTTTTTTCTTTTTAATTTTATTACAATTTATTTATTTTGTATCCCCCTGTAGCTCCCTCCCCTCTCCCCTCCCAATCCCACCTTTCCTTGCCCTTTCCACCCTGCCCCTTCCCCAGTCCACTGATAGGGGAGGTCTTCCTCCCCTTCCTTCTGATCCTAGTCTATCAGTTCTCATCAGGAGTGGCTGCATTGTCTTCCTCTTTATCCTGGTAAGGCTGTTCCCCCCTCAGGGGGAGGTGACCAAAGAGCAGGCCAATCAATTCATGTCAGAGACAGTCCCTCTTCCCATTACTATGGAATCCACTTGGATACTGAACTGCCATGGGCTATGTCTTTGCAGGAGTTCTAGGTTATCTCAATGAATGGTCCTTGGTTGGAGTATGAGTCTCAGGAAAGAACCCTGTGCCCAGATTTTTTGGTTCTGTTGCTCTACTTGTGGAGCTCCTGTCCTCTCCAGGTCTTACTATTTCCCACTTCTTTCATAAGATTCCCTGCACTCTGCCCAAAGGCTGGCTATAAGTCTCAGCATCTGCTTTGATACCCTGCAGGGTAGAGCCTTTCGGAGGCCCTCTGTGGCAGTCTCCTGTCCTGTTCCCTGTTTTCTCCCTCTTCCGATGTCCATCCTCTTTGCCTTTCTGAATGGGGATTGAGCATCTTAGCCAGAGTCGTCCTCCTTGATTAGTTTCTTTAGGTGTACAGATTTTAGTATATTTAAAAAAAGAAAATACACTTGAATATATTTGATAATGGAAAAGAGTGATTGTGAGAAATACAAAGAAGTTTTAATCCATACACCATTTAATCACAAGAATTCTAAACTATTACAATGAATAATTGTACTTACTGTATGTAAAAATCATGGAAATACATTTCCTTTAGAATGGTTTTGGTTTTGTAATAAATGTGAATAGAGAAAAAAAATAAAAGAAAATAATCTTGGATATCCATAGGTTTTACCAAGTAAGATGTAGCCATTATTTCACTTTAAAAGATAGTCTTTTGTACTGGGATGTCTCATTGTAGTAGGAATCTTCCTAGAATAGGCACCTGAGCTCCATTGACAGTACAGGACAGGAGATGACAGGGCGGACCAAAGCTCCGGTGGCTCCCGAAAGGCTTCAATGCTGGGTCCCATAGGTAGTCTCATTTTTTTTTCCTATTTTTCTTTTATTGAAATAGTCTTTTCCATACAATCTATTCTGATTACTGCTTCCCCTAGATCCTCCCCAACTCCTCTCCTATGCAAATACACAGCATTTCTCTCTTATTAGAAAACAAGCAGACATTTAAAGAATAATAATAAATAATATAAATGGGGCAGACAAGCAAGCAAAATTTTACAGAAGCGTATGTGTCAGTCAGCAGGCAGTCAAGGGCAGTGACCCACTGCTTGAGCTATTTCTCCTGGCCACTCTCTTGCAGGTAAAAAGTGAATTTATGCTTGGCATGCAGCCAGCACAAGTGGTGCATTAGGTAAATCACTAAATAATTCAGTAAGTCAGCATATAGGCCTTTGTCTCTTCTACCTTGTTCTACATCTTTTTAAATGCTTAAATTTTATTACACTTTATTTCTTTAGTGTGAATGTGCACTCATGGCTGTGTGTATGAATGCATGTGATTTTATGCATCTGTGTGTGTGTGTGTGTGTGTGTGTGTGTGTGTGTGTGTGTGTGTGT